AAATAGTAAAATAATACTGTTGAAAGTTATAGTTACGTTGCATCATTTCGGAAATAAAAACTGGAATTTTCATTTTTTTTTTTTTTTGCATTTATTTATGAAATATTTATGAAAAACAATTTTTTTTTTTTTAAAAAATCAATGATCTAATTGGATTTTTTCTATAAATAACATTTGTATTCAATTCATCCAAAAACCATTTAACAAAGATCAGAAATCATAAATTAGCATATTCCTTTTTTTTTTTTATTGAGTTTGTAATTTTCCTAATACTAATCTTAAAAACCATTCTTACCTTCATCTATTCACTTTTCTAGTTCATGTTATTCTCAAGCAGTGAATAGTAATAATTTACCATTACCTATGCTTACCGGATACGGAATGGATATGTGCCGTTATATGTCTTGTCCATATGGTCAACAATGTTTAAACGGTATGCAACAATTTACTCTATTTTTATAATTTCATAACATTTAATATTATTTTAAAAAATAACTTAGTTAAGTAACTTAAGAAATGAAAAAAAATGTATGTTTAAGAAATTTTGAAATTAAAAAAATTAGCATACTATATATTATGCAAAATTTTGCTTGCATTTATGAAAACCTAAAATTATTGTATAAGTAACTCCAATTAAATGAATAAAGTTCTATTTCTTGAATATAAAGTTCTGTTTCTAATAAAGTTCTATTTCTAATAAAGTTCTATTTCTTGAATAGTTCTTGAAATATAATTACATACTGCTATGCTAATAGCTAATATTTATATATTGATATTAATATGGTAGTATATTAATTACAGTATATGAATGATTAATCTATTTACGATAAAGTGATGACAGTGGTGGTACTAAGGTTTGTATTAACAAATGTTAATTTTTATTGTATTAATATTAATGTTAATATGTCATTATTATATTACATATACATTAAGGTGTATGCTGGAATAGTACACCTCTTCTTACAACCACAATTACAATTCCAAACAATTTCAATCCTTTTTTAACTAATTCAAATAGTTATTTCGGATATATCAATCCATCATCATTAATAACAAACCCGTGGTTTACCGGTCGACCAAAATTTGTATCAACTGGAAATGGACGATGTTCGTTTTTCTGATTATTTTACTAAAAAAATAAGCATAGCTAATATTAGCTAATTAATCATAACATATATAAATCGCGTATATTAAATAATTCATCGTCAAACATTGAACAATTACATTTTGTTAATAATTACATTTCTGAGATTTATTGATACCTTGATAAAATCATATAACAATAAATGATAATTAGAATTTATACTAATTAGAAGCTACAAATTACATTCCATTAATAATTACATTTCTGAGATTTATTGATACCTTGATAAAATCATATGACAATAAATTATAACCTATGTTAATTAAGAAGCTGATGCGTTTTTAAAAATGAACCAAATTAGGAAGTCTAGAATTATTCAAATGGTTCATTCGTTCAAATAATTATCATAAATATTGCTATACTTATTCAATACATACTAATTATTATTTTGAAAAATAAATAAAATTAAAAATCTTCAATTATACAAAATGGCAATGTTTATTTATAAATCACAAAATAATTGCTATAAATTCTGGTCCTAATATAGTAAAATAATCGTCATATTTGTGTAATATTTAG